GGGGGGGGCGTGCCCACACCCAGTCACGACTGCATTCGGCCCCGTTCATGTCCAGCGCCACCGATGACGCCGCAGCCACGCTCGACCCGAGGGTGGCGAAACAAGGCGTGGAGCAGCCGAGGGGGTGGGTGTCCTGCCGCCCGCAGCCCGCGCCGCTGCGGACCATGAAGCGAGGACAAAGAGAAACGGCTCATGATTCGTTTTTTTTTTTTTTTTTTCGAGGAAGATGATGTTTTCACTCAAAGGAGAGTGGGATTATCAATAGAAAAGGGCGCAAAAAACAACTATGGGCGGAATGCAGTGCAATAAGTTGGTGTCCAGTTGCGCGGCTCCCATTCGGTCCGACCCGACCTTCGCTTATCGACCGACATCGACCCACCTCCGTGTCGATCGTATCGATCGAAGCTGCATCGATGCTCGGCACGATTAGGCAGCTCGGCCAGCTCGGCTCACATCAGCTCCCCAGAGAGAGGTCCCACAGCCCTGAGCCGGCCGATGCGAGGCGGCTGTGCAGATCCGGGCGCGGATGGGGCGGGGCGGTGAATAATAGAACTGTAACTTGCTTACGTGGGACTGCCACGGGGCGTGGCGGGGCGTGGCGGGGCGTGGCGGGGCGTGGCGGGGCGTGGCGGGCCCCATCATAAAGCAGGAGAGAGGGCGGTATTGGCCAGAGCACTGCGTGCGCTTCGCGGGGCTCGGGGGCGTTCTCGCCCCGCCCCGCCCCAGTTTGGCCAACGGTACGCCTTCCCTCGTGGGTCCGGACCGCAGCACGTCTCCCGCCGCCACCGCCGCCACGCCCCCAGCACGCGCTGTTAATAAATGTTAAATCAGTCCGATCGTGTTGTATGTGTGAGTGTGTATGAGAGAGAGAGAGAGAGAGAGAGAAACTAAAGGGCAAGAAAGAAAGAGGGGCGATGAGCTTGGGAACTGTCTGCGCTATCCCTCCGCCCCACCCCGCCGCCCCGCGTAGGAAGTTAATCCACACGATTTGTATCTCTGTCAAAGCCGTCCATATTGCCTCATCTCCCACGCGAGCCGCCGCTTGATTGGTGCTCTAATACAAGGGACGCGCCCCAATGACCATTAATCGTGTGCTTCGTCTAACGAGCCCGGAGAGCTGCTCGGAGAGAGAGAGAGAGGGGAGAGGCTGACTGTCACGGGTTCAAATACGCCAGCGGTGGTGTGCGGTCGTTCTCCTCTCCACGCCCTGGGCCCTGCCTCCCACCTCACACACACACATACACTATCTCTCTCTCTCACACACACACCGCACGCGCGCGCGCGCGCGCACACACACACACACACACACACACACACACACACACACACACACACACTCGCCTCATTGGAAATTTGAATCGAGGTGTATATAACTTCTCCAGGCCCTCGGCAAGTCACGCGTGCTCGGCTGGGGCTGGGCGCGCGCTGGGTGGCCGGTGGCCAGGCCGCCGTCGGACAAGTGTGTCCCGGGGACACACACTGCAGCTAGTCCCGCTCCCAAGGTGCTGTACAGTCCCGGCCGGGTGCGATATGCATAATGACCGCATCGCTCTGGAATGGCGTGGCGTGTCGCGGCCGTACAGTCGCTGTCAAAAGGTTGCAATAATGCGTCAATGCCGGCGAAGGGGGGAGGGGGAGCGGGCTGGAGCACTACGTCAATGAAGCAGTCAATAGATATGCAGCTTGTGTGTTCATTTTGTCGCCACGTTGTGTCCTCTGTTGCAGCTAGCCGCGAGGCGGCGTTCAGCCTGGCGGTGCAGGCGGCCGCCATCTCCTGGGCGTCCGCGACCGCGTGCTCGCGCGGGGAGCTGTCGGGCTGCAGCTGCGCCAAGAAGCCCCCCGGCCACCACCGGGACCCCCAGCCGCCGCAGCAGCAGGACGGCGTCGCCTCGGCCTTCCGCTGGGGGGGCTGCTCGTCGGACGTGGAGTTCGGCGCCAAGCTGTCGAGGACCTTCACGGACGCCGCCCACCCCGCCTCGCTGCTGGACAACGGCCACTCGGCGTCGCGCCGGCTCATGGACAGCCACAACAGCAAGGCTGGCCGGAAGGTAGGTAGGGTCCGTGTGCTGATCCCCGACCTAACCTGGGCGGAGCAGGAGAAATCCCTGCCGTTGACAACGCGGGATTCGACACGCGCTTGACCCCGTGAGTGTGGGTGGCTTTAGAGCTGTCGCAGCGCTCTGTCCTGCAGCTCAGCACCGCTGTCCAGCAACACTGTCCAGCTCTGTCCACCTGGCGGTCTGCTTCCGCCCGCCGCCGCCTTGACGACCGCGTCCCCGTGAAATAAACGCCCGAAAGACGCCGCGCGCGCGTAGTTCTATGGCGGGGCGCTCGGCCCCGCCAGCCCCGCATTCCCGGCGTCCCGAAGCGGTTTGTTCGCCGGCCATAAAAAATGTTGAGGTTCTATGACGGATAGCCATTAAGCGTCGGCGAGGTGTTACTAATCCGGTTGGAGGCGGTGGCCGGGCCCTGTGCGTCGTCGGCGCACGCGGCCAGCGGCCAGGCGGATTGAAAGAAAATGGCAAGGAATTCCGACTCTTTCACTCGCCCTCTCGTCCCTTCTCTTCCTCTCCGTCCGCCTGCTTTCGAGCCCGAAATTCTTGGGACTAGACTACAGCCTTACTTGTAAAGTAATGTGGTTTAACTGACTGAGGGCCAGTCACCAAGGGGACTCCGCGCTGGAAAATAATAATTATTTGCAGTAAATTACGGGAGCTCGGCGCCTGCGAGACTCGAGGTAGGCCACCCCGCAACACACGCATGCAGTGCAGGCAAGATGTGGCCTACCTCCCAGGCGTTATGAGAGCTTGCAGAACCAGAATGTGTTCTTGACAGGTTTGCAGCGGCGAATGACAGACGTACTCTTTGAGTAAGGCGACAGGCGAGCGGTACAGTATGAGTGTGCGATCGGCGAGAACCGGCCACCTCGTGGTGGTACACCCGAACCCGAAGGCGGAGGTAGGGTAGGAAGACGTGGCGCGCAGCGCGCAGCATGAAAACATCCCGTAGAGAGAAAAGATGACCACGCTGAAAGAAGAAGAAGAAGAAACCAAACACAAACACGCGGTCCTATTATGCCTTTTGCTCTCGTGCGCGCATGCATGCTTGGTCGCGGGCGATGGTGACCGCTGATACATTTCAAAGCCACACACACACACTACATAGCTCGGCGCCGCGTGTGTTCGAAACTCCCGCCGCCTGGTCCGGCTCCATTCAAACGGAAATAATGAGCGGCTTGGCGCTTGCATTGTCCCCCCGAGGTGGCCTGCAGGCCGGGGGCCGCCAGGGGCTCACTGCAGCGCCAGTGCATTATTATAATCTCCCGCCCGTGTAGGGCCCTGCCCTGCTCTGCCCTCCTCTGCCCTGCTCTTCCCTCCTCTGCCTTGTCCTGCTCTGCCCCTCCGCTGACCACTAACGCCCCCCTCCCTTTCCCCTGCGTCCAGTTTCCTTGTCGTTCCCTTTTGTGAGGCTCCCATTGCTTTGTCGCGCTCCATGTAATGTCGCCCGCGCTACCGATAAGGAAATCACTCACGTACCCGATAATCGTCGAAATAAAACTAGAGAGGAAAGAGAGTATAATCTTAAAGCTCCTCGTGTTACGCATGCCTGTCACACCAACGGGCGGCAGTTTTTCATCCTTTAGTTTGGTCCTCTTTTTTGTCATGCTCTCCCTTTCGATTGCGACTCCAATTCGTCCAGCAGCTCGCTCCGCGCGGCGCGTGAAATGCAAAGCTGCCCACAAGGCTAAATAAACAGCCCAAGCCGGACCTTTCCCCGCCAACAACCATTTATCTTTACGGGGCGCGGAGAGCGGCGGCGTAGCGCAGCGCAGAGCCAAGTCGCGCGGCCGTTTATGAAACGAAAGATTTCACGAGAACGACGTCCATCTGTTAAATCAGTGGGATCTTAAGTGTGACTAAATGGTGACGCAAATGTTGTCGTTCATTCCGCCTTATAGCCGCCTTATAGCTTTATCCGCCGAGACGCGCGAGGGACGATTGCTGGCGCGGGCGCGCGCCTGTGTGCGTGTGTCTGTGTGTGTGTAAGTACTGTAAGCCTTAAGATGTGTCCACATTTTCCCACAAGCGCAGCCACTGGTGATCTGTCCAGTTTGCATTCAATAACGCGCTCCTGCAGTAATGCTGGGTTGTGAAAGGGAACAAAAAGGTGTGGTAGTTGGGGGAAGCAGAATACAAAAAGAATGACAACTTTGTGAAGACGCATCTGAATAAGCACTGTTATCCGAGGGGTGCCCAACTCTAAAAAATCGTGTACACCTGATTACCAAATAGTTATGATTACCAAGGATTACCAGAGACTACCGAAGATTACTGAAGATTACCCATGATTACCAAGGGTTTCCCAAGATTACCACTGACAAAAGATTACCAGAGATTACGAAAGATTGCCATTGATTACAACTGATTACCAGTGATTACCAAAGATTACCAGTGATTACCAAAGATTACCAGTGATTACCAAAGATTACCGGTGATTACCAAAGATTACCGGTGATTACCAAAGATTTTTAGGAATTTCTTTGCTGGATTACTCAGTGATTACCAAAGATTACCTTGTGATTACCAACGATTACCTGGCGATTACCAACGATTACCTAGTGATTACCATGGATTACCTAGTGATTACCATGGATTACCGGTGATTACCAAGGATTACCGGTGATTACCAAGGATTACTGGTGATTACCAAGGATTACCGGCGATTACCAATGATTACCGGCGATTACCAATGCTTACCGGCGATTGCCAATGATTACCGGTGATTACCAGGGATTACCTACTCTGTGTACACCTGATTACCTCAGTTGGGCACCCCTCGCTGTTATCGTTAGGGTGGGCGTAGTATGGACCATAAAGCTAACCAATCGTAATAAGACTGTCCTAACGCTACGGGACTGTTTCAGGTTCTCCTGCCCATGGGCCAGGCGCGTCATTTTCAAGCAGTTCAGGGCTGATCGTGCCTCACCCGGTTGACTTCACAATTCAACAATTGTTTAGGCTTTTTAGACGCTATGATATAGATGAAGTTACCTCGTCACCTCCGAAAGGATGTCCACCTGCGAATTGGAGTTAATTCATCGTGACCCCCCAAAACTATTAAGCTCACAGACCGGAAGTCAAAGTACAGAAGGTACTCTCCCTCAGAAATCGACGTGACCCCGCTGACCTCCTGTGCTCTTGTTGCAGGCCGTGAAGCTGACGCTGCAGACGGACTGCAAGTGCCACGGCGTGTCGGGCAGCTGCAGCGTGCGCACCTGCTGGACGAGCCTGGCGCCGTTCCGGCTCGTCGGCGACCACCTGATGGCGCGGTACCGCGCGGCCTGGCCCGCCGTGGCGCTGCCCGTGGCCGTGCAGGCCGTGCCGGCCGGGGCGCGCGCGCGCCGCCACCCCGTGGGGCTGCGCCTGGCCCTGCGCGCCGCCAGGAACTCGCGCGCCCCGCCGCACCCCGCGCGCCTGCCCCGACGCACCGACCTGGTCTTCCTCAGCGTCTCCCCCAACTATTGCGACCCGGACCTCGCCCTGGGCTCGCTGGGCACGGCGGGCCGCACTTGCAACAGGACCTCCCGCGGTACGTGACTTACACTAACTACCTCGGTTTGATGGGGTGGGGTACCTTTTTCACGGTAGGGCAGTTCATAAAAGTGTTTCGGAGAATACGAAAAACACGTCTTCTTGGATCACAGAGGAGTTACTTTGTCGTAGCGTCTTTTAAATCTCCTTGTATAACCCTAAATTTAGAGTCTGTGAAGAAAGTACCTCGACACTTCAAAATGACGTAATGTACTGGGTGGCTTAGAACCTTGCTACACTTTCGTACAGCTGTAAGGGGTTACCCTACACGGTCTCCGACCGTGCCGTGTAAAAACCCTGTGACCCCGAGTGAGTATGCAACACGCCCACCCCTCGCGGTCGTATGCAGTGCCACTTATAGCTTAAGAAGGCGTAAGTGGGGATTTTCAGCCAACGGGTAAAATGCGTGCAAGCGCCCCCTGGAATGTGGCCTGGGTCTCCATCTGCTCACCGTCCTGGTCCTTGCCCCTTTAGGCGCGGACGACTGCGGCGTCATGTGCTGCGGGCGCGGCTACAACACGCGGCAGGTGACGCGGAGCCAGCAGTGCCGCTGCAAGTTCCACTGGTGCTGCTACGTGCACTGCGAGGTGTGCACGGACCGCCACGAGGAGTACACGTGCAAGTGAGCGTGCGTGCGCCCAGCGTCGGTCATGTACATAAGTGTATGTATAAAATGAAAATTGAAAATAAAAATAAACCGATACTAAAAACTCTCCCTTGCGCCGGAATGTTGCATTTCGAAATTTCGACCATACTCTCGGCCCCCGTTGACGCGTCGCGGACACGTCGCGCTCACCCCCGGGCCCGGGCCATCAGGAAGGCCAATATTTGCCACCACGGCGCTCTGCCGCCGCCCAGGGGCTCCCGTCGGCTCCTGCACGGCTCCTGGCACCCGGGCGCAGCAGCACCTTTTATGAGGTGCTAACTCGCTGACGGTTTGCGCCTCGACTCGGCGGGCGCGAGCGGGCCAGGCCGGGCACGCTGCAGCAGGAGGCGGAGCGCATCTCAAACACTCTCTTGCTGTCCTTTGTGATGGGCCGACGCGAGACCCGCGCACTTGCTTCGTTCCCAGGCTCCGCAATGGACCGCTTCGCGCCTCTGTCACCCGGAGGCCTGCCAAGCTTCCTGGAAAGGCTTCGGGTGGGTACATGTTGGTGGGCCCTCGAGGTGACGGTCGGACTTACTCGACGAGCTTCCTGGCTCACGAGTACGCGTGACCGATTATGGGTTGTCACATAGAAAACGCGGGACAGGTTCAACTTCAACTTTAATTTTCTAAAAAACATACATTTAGCGCTGAGGTAGTGGGAAGAACATGGAAGATGTGGTAGACTAATACGTGACCCCGAAAATCATATCACAGTCGTTAGATTAGTTGACACAATGCAAATTACAGAACACTTAACATGATGACTCAAGCGAGGGAAAGTCTCGTTACTTGTAATTAGCCTACAGAGGTCTCAATAGAAGATAGTTAAACCTTAGGACTTAGAGCTTAGTTTTATTTTAAAACTAGAATAAGTGCACTATTTTCCTGAGGGATCTTCTAACTGGAACGTTTTGTGAATGTGATGCCAGCGCGAAGTGTCGGGGTTCATGGTTGTTTCGCGGTTTTCTCCCAGGGTCATCTCGTAGTAATCACATCGCCAGTTGGCGTCCACCAATATGATGGTGTGGGTCCTGAAAACAAATGGCGATTTGGTTATCAGATCTTTTCTCGAGTTTGGCGCTCCGAGCTCAACGCACCTCGTCCCGTAGGTGGGGTGCCTCTGGAACACCACGCTGTGCATGTGCACCGTCTCCTTGCGGAGGTTCCCCTTGGCCGCGCGGCCCTCCAGCGTCTCGTCAGGGTAGTGCCTGTGGGGATGTTCAGCAACGACAGTTAGAATACGACCGAGCCGGCGCCCTTCACCCGGCCTTCACCTGCCCCTCCGAAGGGAGATGACTCCAAAACTCACTCCTGATTCCACTTGAGCAGGCCCTCCAGCTCCGCGACGAGCTTGTCGCGCTGCGCGGTCGTCTTTCCGCACCGGTCCAGGATGCCCTCGAAGCGCTGGCCGCCGGCCGTCACCTTGCGGAAGGGCTGGTGCACCAGCGAGTTGCCCAGGGCGAAGCGGCCGCGCCGGAGGTGCGTGACGGAGCCGCCCACGCCCTCCTCCTCCGTGCAGTTGCTGTAGTGCCACAGGCCGCCCTTCGAGGGGCTGCGAACACAAAGCAGCAGCACCGTGAACGCAAGCAGCCAGTCATTAGTAAAAATATCCTTGTAAATTCACAACATTTTTTGGTATTTTTATTTACATAATATATTGTTAATTTTAGACAACCCATTCTTGCTTGTCAATCAATTTCAAGGCGATACTTGCTTGTAAATTTACAATTTCAATATGTAATTTTACGTCACACATCACGGAAAATTTTGCCGTATACTTACGACTTTTTCAGTGTGAGAAAAGTCAGCCAGCTAGCCAGGTAACTGGGGCCGAATACAAAATGAAATGCACCGCGGAACGTACTTGAGGTCGATGGTGACGAGGTGGAAGGCGCTGTACTCGGTGCCGATGGCGGCCAACTTGTTCGAGTAGCACTCGGCGTGCTCCGCGCCGCGCACGTAGTCCGCCACCAGCATGCCCCGCGGCCGCGAGTCGGGCTTGGACGGGGTCCCCATCACGTTGAGGAGGGCCGCGAGCCGCCCGGCCCCCGCGGTGTCGAGCGCCAGCCATGTGCCGCCCTCGCGGCCGGGCTCCATGTCGCGGCCTGCGGACAAGGGAGGGAAGTCAGCTCGAACGCCTGCCTGCGAGGCTACACACGCCAGTGCGATGGGTTGCCTGCCCGCCAGGCGCCCGCCAGCCGACCGGTGGTGCTGCGGCGCCCGCGAGTACGCAACCTATCGGGCACGGGCACCTGTCGCGACACATGTAAGTAGCACCGCGAAGATCGTGGGCGCGGTCGCGGAGGCCGCACGGCATATTCGGGAGTGGGCTGGCTACGCCCACCTCCTCACAATCCCTCGGTGCCACCCGGTACTCGCGTACGTACCCCCGAAGACGCTGGGCGCCTCCTCCCAGTGGTGGGCGTAGTCCGTGGGACGGCGGTAGTGCTCGTCGCGGTTGGAGGCGAGGATCAGGCGGTAGCCGTCCTCCGCGGGACTGTCGTTCACCTCCACGAACAGGATGCACATCGTGGGGAAGACGCTGCTAATGTCTGGGACAAAACAAAAATTATGGAGCCTATTCGAAAAGGTTTCGCGAGAAATTACAAGATGACAGTGCAGGCTGCGATCCCTGCCTGCAGGTGCGGCCGCGGTGGTGGTCGTAGTGCACACTTACGGGCGTGTGATAGGTAGTGCCCTTCGCCAGCGCCCCAGGAGAAACTAAGTAAATAGTGCCTTATCACTAACCGCCTCAAACATTTCCCCGTTGCACTCTCGTGTAAAGTGTCTTCTCACGTTCACGCGCGCCGCGCCTCAGTTTCCGCACTCGATCTAGACTAATAAAATTAGCATGACTTTGCATCTCTTCCACACAAACCTATTGCATACATGATCGCCCCACATATGCAGGCGCCTTGCGTGGGCATACACTGCTATAGCTACACTGCAGGGGAGGGGAAAAAAATTGGGATGGGCCTGTCCGGGATTTGAACCCGGGACCTCTCGCACCCGAAGCGAGAATCATACCCCTAGACCAACAGGCCGTGGTCACGTGAGCGCGATGAAAGCGGAATTGATTCCCCACCCCTCTGTTGCCCTCGCTTCCCCCACTCCCGCGGCCGGCCGCCCTCCCACCGCCCCCCTCCCCTTCTCAGGTCATATACAGTACAGCCCACAGCTGCAGCGCAAACCCATCACTTACTTTGTCTGGTGCCGCAGTGTCCGACGGGCTAATAATCGGGCGATAAGGGGGCGCGGCGGAGAAAGTAAAGGGGTCTACGGCCGCGAGCGCGAGCAGCTGATCTCTGACTGATCAGCTGACAGAGCGGGCCGACACTACTGCGACACTTCTCGCGGCGGCGCACACGGCTAGTGTCAACCGTGTCAACAAGACAGAGGCCGAGGAAGAGAAGTTGATTACCTTGCTGAGGCTGCGGCGACTGTTGCCGGGCCGCATCGACGACGTTTGTTTCCTCACCGCTATCAACGGGAGCGGCGACAACTCGACGGAATCTGATAGACGCGACAGTCCGCTGCCGTGTCGTCTGCGAGCGGCGTCTGCCAACTCGGTACTAGCAGACGATATTTCACGGAAGGACGCCAACGCCCCGACACTTATTCACTCCCGTAATTGAATAATACAAATTTATCCGAAATGGCTTCAATCGCTGAGATTGAAAGCGTGGAGGAGATTTTGAACGGCCACCTACCCGAGGCTGAAAGGGAGGCCGTCAGGAAGATTTTGTATGGGAAAGAGACAAAGTAAGTTTTGTTGATTGTTTTGTTGTGATTCTTTTATCAATAGCAATATCCCCTGTATTTCTTATGTTGCTCTTAGTATGTCTCTAATGAGGCAAGTTAAATAATTAAAGGCTTCTTTTTCCAATTTCCCATTGTGTATAACAATATAACCTCATCAAATAAAAAGATATGAATTAATACAAATTGGTCAAGCTCATGAAAAATGGATCTCATTGTTTGATATATGTCCATTGTGGATCCCCATTCCGATGTTAACATATTTTTGATTTCATTACTGTGTTGCAGGCCATTGACCATACCGCAGGCTGCTATTTCCTTGGCTGAGAAAGAAGACTTTGAAATTAAAGGCTATGCCTTTGCTGCAGCTCAGGAGCAACTTCGATCACCTAGGTTTGTCTTCCTCACTCATCATCACAAACTGTTTCTGAAATGAAACCATTTCCTATTTGATATTTATTGTTACATTTCTTCTTTAAACATTTCTGCAGGATTGTAAGAGTAGGACTCATTCAAAATAAAATTGTTGTCCCAACTGATCGACCAATCAAAGAACAGAGGGACGCCTTACACCAGCGTATTTCAACAATTGTGAAAGCTGCTGCTGATGCTCATGTTAACATCATATGTTTCCAAGAAGCATGGAGTAAATTCAGATTCATTTTACAGTTTGTGTTCTTAATCTCTATATGCCACTAACACAAAATTTATCCTATAAAATTTTCTTTACAGCTATGCCATTTGCATTTTGTACAAGAGAAAAAAAGCCATGGTGTGAATTTGCTGAAGCTGCAGAGGATGGACCAACAACAGAACTTGTTAAAGATGTAATTAAACCTCATTTTCTGCTGCACAATATGTTTCATATTTCTTTTTATGTTACTTATAAAGTTCCTTCCCACAGCTCAGCAAACAGTTCAACATGGTTATCATTTCCCCGATTTTGGAAAGAGACAGTCTTCATGGAGATACCATTTGGAATACAGCTGTAGTTGTCAGTCGAGGAAGGTATTTGGGAAAGCATAGGAAGAATCATATCCCTAGAGTTGGGGATTTCAATGAGAGTTCATACTACTTTGAAGGAAATACTGGCCATCCTGTATTCCAGGTAAATCTCTGAACAATTTTTAGGCTCTACACTGTCTTTTTTTTCCACTATTAAAAATTCTATTACATTTGCTTGTAGACGGAGTTTGGAAAAATTGCTATAAACATATGTTATGGACGTCATCACCCTTTAAATTGGTTTATGTTTGGTGCAAATGGGGCTGAGATTGTTTTCAATCCTTCAGCAACTGTCGGAGAGCTTAGGTAACGAATCGAAAAGGTACCCAAAGTGAAGTATAGAATCTGGATAATTATTCAGTTTTATGAGATCCATCTATTTTATAGTGAACCACTCTGGGGCATTGAAGCACGCAATGCAGCTATTGCAAACAGTTACTTTACATGTGCCATCAACAGAGTAGGCACTGAAAGATTCCCAAATGAGTTCACCTCTGGTAATGGGCAACCGGCTCATAAAGATTTTGGACACTTTTATGGCTCCAGTTATGTTGCAGCTCCTGATGGATCTCGCACACCTGTAAGTGCTGATTCACCAGATAAGTTGAATTACTTGAAATAAATTTAAATAAAAATCATAAGGAACTCATTCCTTTAGGGTTTGTCAAGAACAAGAGATGGGCTGCTGATTGTCGAGATGGACCTAAACCTGTGCCGTCAAGTTCGTGACGTTTGGGGTTTCAAGGTAAGAAAGCTGAAATAAATAATAAATGTTTTTTCTCACTTTTATGGGTTAGTAAAAATATTTAATCATCTTTTCTGTTTTTTGCAGATGACTCAAAGACTAGACATGTATGCTACCAGCATTGCAGCTGCAGCTGAACCAAACTATGAACCAAACATCATCAGCTGAATGCATGTGGGGTATTTCAACAGTACGCAGCTTTAATATAAAGCTAAGTTAATAACAATGATTTTATCTAGCTAACCAACTGTAATATTACTTCAATATATATGTCTTTTACTGTGCCTTAGTAAGTGTAACACATTGAAAGAAAATTAATATATAAAATAAGGACTAATGAAAGAACTATGTTTTATATGTGGATTTTTCCATGGCCACTAATCAATATGAACTAACTTCACAAAAACTATGACTGATTCATGAGAATTAAAAGAAATAAAAAATATCACAGCAAATAATTGTGCACTTTACACCACCCTTTTCGGAGTCACAGATACCACAGGGTAGCAAAAATCACAGGATATTAACAACAAAGTACCACAGCCAAAACTTAATTCCAGCACCATAATACCGGTAACTCTGATTTGAAATGGACCTGAGAGACATGTTAGTTTAATATGTAAAATATTCAGTCCTTTACAGCAATAAAAAAATGCTATCGTTCATTGGAAAATTTGATGACATGCACAATGCAGTACACAGCAAACATTTTGTGCCCTTGAGATTCTATTAATCATTAATTAAAATATATAGATCTTTAAATGAGTATCTGTTGATTGGAATACATGTAGAAAGTTTGTGTAGAATGTTGTAGGTTCTATTCATGAAGATAAAACCGTGTTTGTACTGCTTGATACAGTAGTCCCACTGCTTCTCGAATTAGGAGTCTGTGATAGGTTTGATATTCGTGAGGAATCTGGTAGTGCTGCAGTCCTTGAGTTAGAGCCTCGCTTTATGATTAATGAAATAGTAAATCCTACCAGAGTTACTCCTTGTATCCCAGCTAAGAGGAAGAAGTAGTAATCCAAATGGCCCTAGAAAAAAAATCGTAAGACCCAGGTATTAGCTCAGCTGTATTGTTCACATCAGAAAATGAAATTCCTATTTGCAGTCACCTGGAAATGGTCTCGGTCTTGTGGAATCCATGCTGGGCTTAGAGCACCAATGAGAGCTGTTCCAAGCAAAGATCCAATACCTTCAACAGCAGAAAGAAGCCCCATCGCCACAGCCTGTAACGGTTTAGGGGCCGTCGAATAGACATACTCCAGCCCTTTGGGAGAAAACTATTGTAATAATACTTCTCAAACAAAGGGGAAATTATTAGAAAAATGACTTAAGAATTGTTAGCATACCTGCAACTCCTGCAAATACCTCTGCCATACCAACTAAGCAGTACTGTGGAACTTGCCACAAAACAGAAACGTCACTTGAATTGTATTTCCTGTTGTGGATGATTTGCTCAACATGGTGGCTAAGAGACAAAAACAATATGAAAGCTCTCTTTAAATAACATAAAGCAACAGAAATTGTAGTAGAAAGGTTACTCACCCATCATGCCAATGTTGCATTGAAATAGTTTCCAAAAGACCTGCTGACACAGCTGCACACAAGCTCAGTGCCATACCTACAGCTGGAGAGAAAATTTGAAAAGTATGTAAGCAAATAAGAAATCCAAGGTAAGAATCTGTTTAACACATAGATTCAAAAATAATTTGATACCTATTCTCCCAAATAGAGTAACTCTGACCCCTCTTCGGTCAAGAGCTGGATATACAAATCCATTAAGTAAAGGAATCAAGCCTAGGATAAAAAGTTGATCAAATAAACTCAGCCAAGAAGTGGGAATCTAGTTCAGAAACAAAAATATAAGATCACTAGAGATAAAAATTTAGTGAAGGGTAGAAACAGAATTTCACAAGACATACATTAAAGGTGTTATCAGGTGCCAGTCCAATTTTGAGATGCACTCCTTGTTCTTGGAAGCCTGTTTCAATCTGTAATCAAAAGACATGTAAGAGAGGCATTTGTACACTGAGCATTTGTTAATAATATCTATCATCTTACCTGAAAAAATACCAGCCAATAGGGTAGAAGAAGCAGCAGTAGCAAAAGAACGGACCCAAGCTTTTTAACATCTTCAACAGTTGAGTCATGGTGAGAGCCTCCATACCGCATTTTAGCATAATCAAGCCATGAAGGAGAATTCACTGGATTAGGGTTTGATCTACTGGATAATGCTGGCGACCTGCTAATTCCCCCTCCATGTCTTTACACATAAAACTTAAAGCATTCTTAAAAGTAGAAAACTGATTATCATGTAAGATCTTGTGTCCTTACCGTTGAAGGTTTGATTTTCGCAGATTCCAGCAGCCACTGATTCCTTGATGAAGAATTCTTAGAGTTGAAAGGAGGGGTGAACTACCAGGTCTATAAATTACATAATAAGGCTTTCCAACAGCAAGTAAAACTAATGCTAGTGTGACTCCAGCACCTGCTCCCCCCCAGGCAGCCAAAAATCCTCCTGCAACTGTTGCTGGTTCTTGGGCAACTAATGATAAAAATCCAACTCCTAAGAGGGATCCAGAATTCACGCACCAATAGTACCAATTAAAAAATTTGCGCACAGATTCTCCACCACCATGTCGAACCTTAATAGGGATAGAAAAATGGCAAGGTACTCTATAAAAATATGGAAAAATACTTAAAATACCATCAAGAAAATTTTTGTTGTTACCTGCTCTGCTCCAAATGAAGGGAAATTAGCACGAACTGTGCCAGCAGCAACACCAATACATGTGAATATGATATACAACTGTGGCAAGGAGGCATGGGTGTTGGACCACAGAATACCACCAGCAACAGCTGTCAGCATTGCAAACCCAATCACATACAGACCAAGTCCCAATATCAGTGTCCAGTAACGACCTGCAGTAAAATAGATAGTAAAATGATAACTGATAACACATGGTAAGACATATATATACGTGGTAATGCTTATAGATTATACGCAGATAAAAACATACCTAAAGCACCGTCTGCGAGCCATCCTCCACCTAATGCTGAAAAGTGAGCGATAGCTCCAACCACAAGCACAGCTGTCATTGCTTCCTTAGGTGTATTGCCACCTAAACTCAGAAACACCAGCAGATTTGCAAGCAGTGCATAATATGCTAATCTTTCCAATGTGAGTGCTAGGAGCACACATGTTGCAGCCTTTGTTCCTCTGACAGGATCCCATTGCAGACCAGACGACTGCGTTGCTAAATTAGGGGATGATCCAATGGGGCTGGGCTTGCGAAGAAGAGGTGTGCGCTCACCTTCCATTTCAGGAGAACAATATAAGAGTCAGCCTTCCTGTCAGACAAGGTAAAAAAAATAAAAAATAAACACAACAGAATAAGATGTGAGTTCTGAACCCGTCCACGAATATGAATGCTTAGGCTCTCATGGAACATGTTACGTCCCGTTGAGTTCCAAACCTATCATTAGACAAACAACAAAGTTTGCGCAGATTGACAAGTGCTGATAAGGAAGAAATCATACTTACCTAACCCGCAAAACCGTTTGTTAACAGCAGCAGAATTCACGGGAAGTGTGTCCGTCAAACGACTTGACGTGTGGGAACTTCTGGCTTGACAAGGAGTTGGCTCTTCGGTGCTTCCACAACCGCGCTGATTCCCTTGCCGCAGTATTGGTTTCATTCAATTCTTTTCTCTTAAAATGACTCAAGCAACTCCAGCCGAGTCCCCCCTCCTCTCCCTCCCCTCTCAAACTCAACCCCCTCGTCCTCATGCATGAGGCGCGCGAACCGGGTGAGTGGGTGGTGAGCAAAATGTTCATCGAATCTAACAAAGTATTGTCAGAAATCCGTTATCACGCATGATCTTCTTTCCCAGCGGGGTACCAATAAAATCGAGCCCTTTGACAGCAATCATACGTGATACCACTGTTACCTCTTTAAAGTTGCCGCGCAAAGTAGAGGTTGGCCGGTCAAGAATCGAATCCACATTCGAGATCAGCAGACGAACAGTCTTTTGTTAAGTCCAATCTGCAAAGTACACGTCATATTTGAAATTTTTATATATTGCGGGAGGACTGACATTGCGTTGCTTTTGAGTTTTCTGTTCATTAAACATGTGTTTGCGTGTAGAAACGTGTATGAAGATAAAATGAAGTTCTGCCGTTTCTTATATTATGTGTTCATCGTACAAATCATCAACAGGTAGGGTTATGTACATGACAGCATTTTGCTACATTCCTTAAAAGTAAAGATTGTCTTCTACATTGGAGTAAATTTTCATAAATTTACGTTGCTGCTACTAGTTTAAGCCACCTGAAATATCATTAAGGATGCCACTCTTTACGATCCAGTATTTAAGACAAAAATTGATCAGGATGATCTTTGTTACTTTTAAATTTAGTTTTTAATAAATCTTTGCATTATCATACTCTGCGTTAGTTAGCTCACTGTACAATGAGCCTGTTCTTTATATTTATTACTGTTGTGAGACCTTTGTTTATGTTGTTCTTAGTTAAGAAAATAAAGTAAAATTATATGGACATATTTCTTTCAGCTGTATTGCCAATATCGTCACAAAGACTGAGGCTCCTGCTAGTTCTGCAGGGAAAACAGATGACTCAGCCGACTTAAATGACACCACCGAATTTTATAAAGAAATTGATCCTGTCTCCTCTAACACATTGGCCGTAAATTCATTACCCACAGACACTTTCAAGGACACCCCCAGTGAAATATCAGAGGTTTGTTGCATCACCATAGCTTTAGAAAACAAATTATGGAAATTGCACATCACATTCATTCTGCTAACTTTGATGTTACAGAATGTTGGACAAGCATCCCAAATAGAGTCAAGCTTTGAGGATGTTTCAAAGTCAAAGCCCATTGTTGATGAAGTTGCTGTCAATGAGAAATTACCAGGTGTCCTGAATCAGGGTACCTTAAGTCAGGAGTATGTATCATTCCCTTGAGCTTGTTTAAGCTTTCACACTGACCTTTTCTTTTAATACACTTGCTTTGTTATTTTTCAGTCTTCCCGATACAGGGACTGTAGGTGTGGTAACGCTTGTGGACTCAGCCTCAGCAGATCTTCAAAAGCTTGCTACTTCAGCATCAGCAGAGGTTACAACCGACAGCAAATATGAAAAGGGCTCTAGCGAAAATACTACAGCTGGAAATCTACCCCCAATCGTTATTTTACCACCTGCCAAAGTTGACCTGGTCAATGAAAACCATCAGGCAGAGGTTATAACTGAAGCTACAACTGCTAATGTACCAAATTCAGAGCCACCAGTCGTGAGAGCTGAACCAAAAGTATTTCACTCATTTTTATCTTGCTTGGATTCTGGAGTGAATTTATAAGTGATTCTGATATATCATGTTCTTTTTGTTAGGTTGTTGAGCAGACTGTTAAAGTTGAAGACCATGTAGAACCAGAAACAACAGAAAAAAGTTCTCCATCCATAGCTCAGCCAAATACTCAAGTTTTTGGCAAACCTTTAGAGCCAGTTTTGCCTCCTCCTCCTCCTGCCCAACCCAGTAGCACCCTTGATGCATTACCTGTGCCATCACCTGAAATTCCTCAAGAAGAAATACCATCATTTAGTGAATGGACTCAAAAGCAATTGGAGGAAGCTGAAAAAAAGAAAGGCATGTACATATCCCAAACTGTCTTTATTTCTCTTTCTGTTAGTTTTTTTTATTTTTCATGTAAAATTTTCTACACAGGACAAAATAAAACTGCTAATTCCCCTCCATCAAGAGGACCTACTCCAAGCAAGATGAGATCTAAGAACTATGCATCCCCTGATTGTGGAGCAAAAATTGTTGCTACGAATCCAGAAGCTGAAAACCCTAGTGGTGTCTTAGCTAACTCCAAAGATGAATACCTTATCAATAAATGCAGTACTCAAAGAATGTGGCTCATCATTGAACTTTGTGAAGCAGTTCAAGCCAAGAAAGTAAGTACTATCCTTATTTTTTTATGTCAATGTAAATGTACATATTAGAACCTTACCTTATTAGAAGATTTAGGTGAAGCTCAAATCTTATACCCCTTCAATTTTTTTTACAGATTGAATTAGCTAATTTTGAGTTATTTTCATCATCCCCAAAAGAATTCTCAGTTTATTTAAGTCATAATTTTCCGACTCGTGATTGGTCCAGTGTTGGTCAGTTTACAGCTAAAGATGAACGAACAGTGCAAAGTTTTAATTTGCAACCTCATTTGTTTGGAAAATTTTTGAAGGTAAGGCACACACGTCAATGTGTTTTCCTAACATCAGAAATTACTTTAATTCACTATATTGTGGAAATTATTTATGCAGGTAGAGTTCAACTCTCATTATGGAAAAGAACATTTCTGTTGTACGTCTCTTATTCGTGTTTATGGTACAAGTGAATTCGAAGTGCTAGAAACTGAAAATGAAGGTCATGGTTCTGCTCATGAGCTTGATGACGATGATGATGAGGATGAGCAGCCTGTTGGTGTTGACACAGGAAAACCATCCAAAAATTTATTCGGACATGCGACTGATGCTGTAAGTACCAGAGAGCTAAATCTTGATGAAAACTCTGATGTAATTCTAAGTCTGATAATTATGTGAGTATTATGTCTCTAGGTGTATACAATTGTTCGGAAAGCAGCTGAAGTTCTTGTGAAGAGTGGAGATAGTCAAAATCAAAGCCAAACTCTGGATCAGAAAAATGCTACTGCTTTAATTCCTTCTTTCCAAGTGCGACCTCGACACTGTAGCACTTTGCGCCACCTTATTGTTTGCAATAACTGCAGTCCTGAATTTTTTGATCAAGTGTACCATCTTCTTAGTTGCCAGGCAGAGGATATGCAGGCTTTGATTGAGTCAACTTTTGTGCTTGATGCCATTAATAACAGCCAGTTATGTTCTTTATCTGGCCTCGATTATATAGCCAAACGATATTTGGCAGCTCCATTGCGAATCCAAAGTGAAGATCAATTGGATCAAGCTGGATATTTGGCAGCCATGTTGCCAGCAGAGTATATTGCTGCGCTGTGCAACATCTTAGCTGTGCTAGAAGGGAAGGTTGTACTAAACACAAGTCAAAGTGCTATGGCGCAGCAAGGAGCCAGCATTATTGGCCAACCCTCTCAAGATTCACGGGAGTCAGACCTCAAAAACTTATTAATTGAACATAAGGCACCTCAAACCTGCTCAATGGATGCATCATTTACTTCATCAAACTGTCAATCTGGTGGTAGTTCCCCTCATACTCCTGATGTATCAACAAGTTTTCCAGGAAGCCAACCAGGACCTCCATATGCATCCATGGCTTCTGAGATAAAACCGACAAGAACACTAACTAAAGAAGAGGTTAGAGAAATTTCAGCAGAGGAAGCAGCTGTTCCACATGCTCCAGTAGAGAAGTCTGCCATCAGCCCTGATGTAAAGGCAACCATTCAGACTCCGTTCAATGTGAAAATTGAACCATCTATGATCTCAGTTAATATGCCTGGAGGATCAGCGGAGAATCCGAAGGCTAGCTCCTTTATTCCTGAAGTACCTCAGGACCCCATAGCACCTGAACAATTGGGTATTGATGCCTTAGACAGAGATAAAGATTTAGGTGATACATCCTTTGGCCTGGATGGAGGGGTTTCTGAAGATCAAGAGCCTTCGAAGGATTTAGATGCCCTTTTCATGGAAATGAAAGCACTCGACAACACTGAGGAAACTTCTTCAGAAGCTGGGTCAGCAACAACACCAAGCAGTGTGGTTACTCAAACTCGTGTTCCTTCTCAGCAAGCTCAAAAAGAATCTGTGTTCTTGAGGCTATCAAATAAAATTAAGGTGAGTATTAACCTTTTGCATCCTCTTATGTCACATTTACAGGGCATGACAGTTTATTAGCAAGACATCTATTAATCTACCTTTTTCAAGTTTTTTGTCTGACTTTTATTTCATTTTTTTCAGGCCCTTGAGCGTAATATGTCTTTGAGTGGTCAATACTTGGAGGAGCTTAGCAGGCGCTACAAAAAGCAAGAAGAATTGAGCCGTGCATTGAATAAAACATTGGTTCTTCTCAGAGAAGAAATCCGAAAATCTAAAGACAGGGAACAACAAAGAGATAGTGATATTCTGTTTCTTCGCACTCAGTTAATTCAACTCACAGCAACAGTTGAAGCTTATCAGTCAGAAAAAGATAGCTGGCAGCACAAGGCAGTTGTGAGTTTTCTGTATTGGTTTAATTCAACCTTAGCATTTTGGGTCTGTTCAATTTAAGTGCATATTGTGAATCTATTTAATTCCCTTTCTAGGTTTTCAGTCAACACTTTGCTCTGATAGTCATTGAGATAGTTATGTTTGCTGTCGTTATCTGGATGTGCCGACGGTTACCCACTGATGCCGGCAACATGTCATCTACTGGCTCGCAAAGGAAGTGGAGCACAGGTTGGCGAAAGGTCAACAAATCAAATGTTAAACACCTGAGAAGACGTAGTTCCCTTGATGGCCTCAGCAGTTCCAGTGATGTTAAAAAGCGTCGGCCTAGTGAAGAAGCTCTCCAGATTTCAGGTTTTTATCTCAATATTGTATTTGTCGTTAAGTGTTGTCTCAGTACAGTTTTTAATATCTGTCTTTTCACCCTTAGGATCATACAAGGATTTACTTTTGCAAGATGAAAACGTAGTTGTGGTCCAAGGAGAAGATATCACTCATGAAGGAAGTGATCAAAACTGGTTGGCTGTAACAGGCCCAAGAGATCAACGGCGAAGGAGAAAACGCAGGAAAGAATGCTTAGTGAAATCCTCATCTAGCAACAACCTCAGCCAATATCAGGCAAATTATTCTCAGACGGTCACTAGAAAAATTTCTGCCCCCATGCATTCATACTCATTACCTATTGAGAGTGGTGAAATTGAAAGTCCTGAGGTACAGAGCACCATGAGACAGGCCCATTCACCATCAAATTCGCCCAACAGTTTGAAAACGGGGGATATCTGTCAAAGTGAGGCAGCTTTCGCACCTGACTCCCCATCTTCAGGTAATATTATCTCCTATCAGGCCGCTCAAATTCCTCCTGGTTTTACTGAAACCGCAACTTCTGCAAGGAGTAGAAGATCCTTTAATTTGGCTGAAGCCAACCTTCCATTTCACCCATCTGTATCACCCGATTGGATGATGAATCACCATGATGGTGACAGTGGAAGCAGTGTATCTGGTCAATCAAGTCGTAGCAAAGGTTTAGATTCTCTTGAGCCAGTGTGCAATAGTAGTCAAAGTGATAACCAAGGAATTTTAATGGAAGATAAGAAGAAAAAATTGGGTAAGAAGGGTGGTCTTAAAAGTATGGTAAAAAAATTCTTCTAACAGTGCATTTTTCTTATTGAAAAAATGAAGGTGAGGTCTATCCATTAGTACCATTCTTCTCAACCCTTTCTAGTCCAAGCCAAGTTTTTTTTAGAGAGACAATTTTTGACCCTGATTCTACTGGATAAATAGTGTCCAAGTATTCTTTTTAATTTGTTGATTTAAAATTATGTCATTCAAATTCAGCCCCAAAGTTGGCTCTTAAATTACCAAGTGGTAAAGTTGCGATGATAGTTAACATCACCATGGGACTCACTATTACTTTTTATGTACAAAGTGCAAAGTGTCTGAGTAAAATAAAAAATATAGGTCTATTAAGAGATAAGTGAATAAATTGAAAAAGGGAGCATGCTAAGCTGTGACTCTTATTAACTGTGATTAAGGTTGCACATTTGTATTAAATGTCTCCACATTCCCCTTGGAATTTTCTTCTTATGTTGAAGTCCAGTCAGTAGCTGGATTAAGATTTAGAAATTAGAAAAACAGTGAAGCTTTTATTTTCTGTAATTTAGTCAACTAAGTCATTAGGTAGAAAATTGCTTGATGATGATGAGTCTCATAATGATGAAGATCATGGAGACCTCAAAATCGCGTTGGTCACAAAGTTCCTGTTTGCCTGAATTGGGACACCATGCCATGCAGGGATTTATAAAAATAAATGTTACGAGTTGTATAGTTATACAACAGCATGTGCAGTTGTTGCATATTTCTAATTAGGGCAATCCAATTGACTGTTCAATTCATTTTATTTATTATCTTATTTATTTGTTAGGAATTAAATTGAGAGGCTTTTTTGCGTGTGTTGCAAGTTTTCAATGTGGTGTGAAGTAAGCTATCACTGTCTGTTGTTTGTCTAGTCAATTATCTTCCGATGTATTTCTTTCTTCCTATAATAGCTTGGGAATGTGTTCACAGACAGGTCTGAGATTTGCTTATGGCTAGAAGAAATTGTACTTAGTTACTAGAGAGGAATTTTGATCCCCTCTATAATTTGTTTGCGTTGAACATTACCAGTTACTTCTTTTGTGAATTTCCTCACTACAAATCACTAAACAACAAAAAGAAACAACTTCTAGTAAACATGAATGAAAATTTACTTACAGTTCGCTTCAGAAAATATCTTGTTGATCTAACATGTGACCTTGTTTCATCATGCAAATGGCTGTGAACTGTAGAGACTGGTGATTTTTCCATTTGTCTTTTTTTTTCTTTCTGAAATTAAAGGAACTGTGACTTAACTCTTCAGTACCATTGGGTCCAAATGTAAGGTGTATTATTACTGAAACTTGTTTTGGTAGCTGTTAAATTGAGTGTAAGTTCATTTTGTGTTACATGGTTGCAGATTTGTATCAAGCGATTGGACTGTAGGTTATTATCTAAGTAGTTTCAAAAGTCTAAGCTATGTACAGGTAATTTGCCAGAAACTTGTGATCTGATTATTATTATTATTATTGATGCTTAAATTATTCTGATTTTTATGATTGTTACTGGGAGTCTTACAATACACTTAAAACTGTACATCAGTAAGAACTTGTTAGTTTTCAATAAGTTGAAATTTCCTTATATACATATGTGTAAATCTTTTAGCTAATTGATCGAAGTTTATGTATTATTTATATTCTAATCTAGGTAGTGATTAGTTTGCTCAGAACTTGCTGATCACAATTTTCTTTGCATTTATGAGAATTATTTCCTCTTGTAATCGCCCCAAGTCAAAACTCATCTTTAAAGATGTTGGCAATTGTGTGATTATAAATTTTACTTATCGAGATGTATCACGTGACTGAGCTGGATCTGGATAACCAGGTCTTGACCATTGTTTTAAATCTGTCTTATCTTGTCAGCAATTACAATTGATTCTTACTGGGTTTAATTTTTCAGGTAGATTCTGCTTTGTCTGTAGTTATGTTCTTCCAGCTTCAAAGACTAGTTATTCAGTGCATCTGAATTGATCTAAATACTTCTGACTTTATTTTATTTTAATCATGGGAAATTGTTAAGTTTTGTGAGGTCGTTTCTGAGTTCACGTTTCATAGATCAAGGAGGTCAGATTATTTTCAGTCTCAATTACTATTATTTTATCAATTTTGTTCCAATTAAACGATTTTCATGGTCCAAAGTAAGATGCCATTTCCCCCTCCTTAGACTATGTATTTATAGGAAGAAAGACTGTTCTATTGTAATGTAATGTTTATTTCATTTGAATCAATTGAAATGAGAGAAAATATTTTTCTGGTTACCATGCTGTGACAATACTTGGGGTGGTTAGCTTTTCAATTTATGCATATCATTTAAGAAAATGTTTATGGACCTTAAAGAGCTAAAACCTGAATTTAGTGTGAACAGTTTGTTTTATGTTTAAAAATTTGAGCTAAGTGATCTGTATCCAATTTCCGTTTTATCTGTTGCCTTGTTTCTTGTGTTTATGTTTTGTGTTTTTATTAATGTACAAATTGCCTTGCACTTCCGTAAGCATATATTGCTGGTGAATTATGTATCAAGAGGCAGAATTTGTTTTTGTGTTTGTCCATGTTCTTTTTCTGCGAGAGATTGTTCTTGATGGTATCTTAAATTTATGTTTGATCAGCTCTTTGATAGATAAAGAAAGGTACATTTTCTTTTGTGTATCACCAATTTTCATTTTTCATGTCATTCCTCACCTCATGTATGAATGCTGTGATCATGTAGATCCCCTGGTTTTCTTGGTCATCAGATGAATTTCCTTCTGTGCAAAGAAACATTAATGGATTAATACTTACCAATGACTACTTGAAAAATGTATCCATTCAATTCATGTTCCTATCAGTTTGAAGTACAGTTAAAATGCTCTTCTTCTAAATGTGTTTTGATTCCAGGTTTCCAAATTCCAATAATGCAAAAATAAATGCCATCCAAAGCAACAATCATTCATTTTGTATAGTAGTTTACAATGCACCAAAATACAAAGACAAAGATACACATATTTACACTTGTATAATTCACAGCATTTTGTCACATGTTTTCTCTTATAAAAAGGAAGTAAAAGTAGCGTTTTGAGTGTGGGTCCCAGGTGAGAGTCCAACTGAACCCTTTGAGTCGAGCAGGCCTGCACAGGAGGCGGTGCAATAGTTTTCCACTTGCCCCCGACGGCCTCGACGGCCCTGGCCGGTGCGGGTCAGAGGGCGTCATGTCTCTTGGGGTCGCTGGCGATGAGCTCGCGCCGCTTCCACACCCCTGGCGCCGACCCCGCTGACGCCGGCGCGGCGCCCTGGCCCTGCGAGGCGCCCCGGCCGTGGCCCGCGCCGTGTCCGGCCTGCGTCCCCGGCCCCACCTGGGAGGCCAGCAGGCTGCCCATCCCCGCCGAGGACGGCGACCGGAGCGCCTCTGGCTCGGGGATGTGCCTCGTGTACCTACGCTTGGTGTACTTCTTCTTGTCGTCCACGGCGGTGGAGGGCGCGGGTGCGGCGGAGGTGCTGCTTGCGGCCGCCGTGCGGCTGATCCTGAGCATGCGCTCGATGTCGGCCGTCTTGGACCTCAGCACGGCGCCGCCGATCGAGGAGATGCTCGGCGTGATGATCCTGTCCCTCTCCCGCGCCGACACCACCTCCTCCCGGTAGTCCCGCATGTCGTCGAAGTTTGCACTGCCGATGAAGGAGGTGGTGGCGCTCTTGGCGAGCTCGGAGCCAGAGCCCGACGGAGGTGCGTGGTGGCCGCCGCCGCCCGTCAGGGAGGAGATGATGCGCTGGTAGGCGCTGGGCTTGGAAGGCTCGCGCTCCCGCCGGCCGCCGATACCCGCCAGGGCGTCGCCGCTCACGGCGGCGGCGGCGGGCGCGGGAGTGTCCCCGATGGACGTGAAGGTGACTCGCTGCACGACCACGCCCGGGGTGAGCGTGGTGGTCTGCACGTGGTGCTCCGAGGACGTGGACGCGGTCCGGCTGTACGCGGCGCGCCGGTCCTGGACGGCCTGCATCTGCGGTGCCACCTGTGGCACCTCTGGTATGTAGTTGACGTTGCGCACGAGCGGGTCGGGTGACAGGGGCGGCGAGCTCGCCCAGGACGGCGGCGAACTGCTGCTGTTGCGGGGCGGGCTGCTGTAGGAGCCCACGGCCGAGTCGCGCGTGCCCTGCGACGCCGTGGCCGCGCCGCCCGCCGTCGACGAGTCGCTGCCCACGCTGCCGCTGCCCGAGCGCTGCCGCCGCCGCTGGCTCAGGCTGGTGGACGGGCTGCCACCGGGCACACCCGTCGACACGCCGGACCCCGTCAGCGATCCGCGGACAAGCCCTGGGAGGCAAAGCGACATCGGTCAGGACCCATAACGTGCACCCGTTGGCGCCGCATCCCCGACAAAGACTCTGAGTTTCTACTGACCGACGGTCACCTGGTGCCTCCCACCGCTGTCCTGCACGCCGTCCTCGATGTAGGGGATGTCCGAGTCGTCCACGCTGAGGGCGAAGGCCGCCCCTCCCGCACCGGGGACGGGGATCTTGAGCGAGGCGGTGATGACCCCTTGGCCCGAGCCCGTCCCGCTGTCGGCAGAGTCCCCCGCAGAGTCGACCCGCGACCGCCGCCTGCTGCCACCCCCGCTGCGCCGGCTGCCCCTGCTGCAGAGACAGGCCGTTAGGTCGTTCAGTTGTGCCACATCCCTGTGTGGCTACTTTTACCCGCCGGCTAGAGTCAGCTTAGTACACAGTTGTAGCTAGAATCGACACACCCGCATGTAGCTTCATCCGAACCAAAACTGCTGGCCCTGAGATCGACTCCCGGCCGGGGCATACTTTTTTTTTTTTTGTCGCTTCTTGCCTCCTGTTAGGCAGGCCGAGCTCAGAACTCTCACTGGAATTGTCAGGCTGGCAGCCGAGCGTGCTAAAGCGTGTTCGTGAACAGAGCGCTGGCATCGTCGCTGGTTCGAATCTCGTCCGCGGAAATTTTTTCCTGCTCTGCTGGCCATGTATCTTCGGTCGTCAGCGACAGCTGAGGTCCGCTTGTCGCCGGGGTCTATTTGCATTATCGTTCCCCCGTGGCTGAGTAGGTAGCGTCCCGGCCTTGTGTGAATTCGTTCGCTGGTTCGAAACCCACTCGAGAAATGCTTTTGGCGCTCGGCTGGCCACGAGTTTTCAGTCGTGCGACACCTGATGTGATGGGCCGGTACGCAAACAGTCGCTGGTTCGAATCTAGTCGACGGAACCCTTTTGCCACTCTGCCGGCCATGTGCTTCCGGGTGTGAGTCACGAGTCACAGTGGAGATACGCTTCTATACAACAGCCTCAATGGCTCAGTTGGTAGAGCGCGCGCTCTCTATGCGGATGGACGGTGGTTCGAATACTGAAGACCATTTTTCGCGTTTTCCCGGCATCCTAATTAACTGACCAGACCTGCAGCGAGATGAGGAGGTGGACCTGGTAGACCAACTACTCAGCAGGTCCCGAAAAAA